TATTTCTATACATCGAATCTTTAACCACAGATGTATTGATTTATGTGTGCTCTGTTGCCCTTGCCGGTGAAATAAATCGACTTCTAATACTTCCGACTTAGAGTGCTAAACTAACCTGTAGCCTCCTGTAACGCTTTGTAGATCTTCGCGTAGCCAATACCAGCGTTTTCTTCGTTGATTGAGAGCCGAGATTCATGAGCATGAACGACAAATGTGGCAACATCCATCTGTAGCTGAGGAATAGTGTTTTCACATATCTCCGCCATGCTGTTCAGGCGAAAATTGAGCTTTTCTATCGAAATATCGAGACCATGTTTCTCGTCCACTTCGAGTAAAAACGTTTCCACAACATCCAGGTTATAAAGCTCATCACAGTTAAAAAGGTAAACCTTCTGACTCGACCGTTCCTCCATGTCAGAAACTATTCTTCACTGAATTGAAAGCTTATTCCCTGACGTTTTGTTTACCAACGACGCTATTTCGCTTTTACATGACGTCAATTCTGGGAATGACCTTTACATACGTTTTCTGCGAAATTCATCGGCAATAGACAGTCACGCAACGCCCTCCCCTGATTCCGTGATCGTTTGAACAGAAAGCGTGAACTTGTCACAAATTGTAAAGGACGTCTGCAAAACCCGAATAGCGAATAGCGAATAGGGCGAAAAAAAGTATTTCATATGAAGCTATCTTGGACTCATATAAGTTAGTGTTCGAGGTTAAGTACAGTATTTTTATAGTTTGATTTCTCGGTTTCCCTATTCCGTAAAGTTTTCAGGCCAGCAGGATGGTTTTCGACCGACTAGGTTCGTAATTTCCTCTTAATATCAGCCAGACAATTGCCATTCGCCGATCAGATTGCAGAGGATTATAAAGGTGCGCCATTTCTTTACATTTTGTTTAATTAGCGACTTTGCTCAGAAAAGGAATCATACAATATACAGATTGACTTCAGATCGGATGTTTAAAGAGCTTGTGGAAATATTCAGCGGAAATTTTAGCTCTTTGTGAGTAATATTGAAAGAAATATTAGGTTTAAAAACCTACACAATTTGTGTGGCAAAAGCGCTAATATAGCTCATACATTCTTTAGTAAATTTGAGCTTTTTTTTTTCAAACCCATGCCTGATTAGACAAAAAGCCTAAAACACCGGGGCTCAAATTTCCAGAGGAAGTTATTCGTGTCGTGTTCTTTATATATTCAGAACTGATATGTAGCTTGATCATTCCACCTTAGGCCCAGTTCAGACGCCGAACTTTTCATGAGCCGAACCTGATACGTTGAATTAAGTACATGAAAAGTTCGGCGTCTGAATCAGTTAAGAACAGCTATTTGAATTTGGAGCGGCTCAGCCGTTCTTCCCGCCTAGCTCAGCCGGGAATTTCGGCTTTGGAACGACTTTGATTCAGACGTCGAACTTTTCATGTGCTGAACCTAATGCATATGCATACACCTTGCCTGAAAACCACTGATTTTTTTTATGTGTTTTGGTTCAAACTAAATTAAGTTCGGTGAATTAAGTTCGACGTCTGAATCAACAGGCGTACTTTTGACATATAATTTGGGTCGATCGAAATTCGAATTAAGTTCGGCTCGTGGAAAGTTCAGCGTCTGAACTGGGCCTTACCGATATCAAATGAAGGCCGATTTTTGTCCGTTGTACATGCTAAAAATAAATTTATCAACCGAGGACAGTAATAGGTCCCAAGTTGATGTGCAGTTAAGCGTTATCTCTCATCAACATGAAAGCCTATTCGCAGTGTGCACGTTTTTACTTTGTCAATATGAAGTCCTGCTGACAGAGCAGCATAGATTCATACCCAACAAGTAGTATAAGGCATTCAACAGTTTTTGTCCCCCCCCCCCTCCCCCATTTGCTACTATTCACCACTATATTCGCCTCTTTTCGCGACTGTTCGCCACTATTCGCCAACATTCGCGTTTGTTCGCCACTATTCGCGACTGTTCGCCTCTATTCGCACTATTCGAGTCTATTCGCACTATTCGTACCATTCCCTATTCGCTATTCGCGACTATTCGCTATTCGAGGCTTTTCTAGATACCCGAAAGTTTCCTATATCTCTTTATGCCATAAGGCACATAAGGCTACCCGAAAGTTTGGAGTATATACACACCGTAGAGAGAGACTGCGAGATCAAAGTATCTTGTCCAAAAACAGAACGCAAAGACCGCAATGTGCGCCCAAACTCTGACCTTTGGATCCCGGCGGATTCAAACGGTAAGATTCGGTAAAAAGTCGTAAAACATACTGATGTTATATTCGTTACATCATCAGCAAGTCTTTATTTGGTGGATACATTTTTCATCCCATCTAACGGTAATCACTAGCGCTTCCTCCTTTGATCGTGCCTATAACAAAACTCTCGATCGTGATTGGTTCTCCGCGCGCCTATTTGTCACGCAATCGGCGCGCGATCACGTGGGTGTCCAATTGCAGGTATCCAATTTCAACTTTTTGTAATTGGATACCTGTAATTGGATACTCACGTGATTTGCACGTCAATTGCGCGCGCTTTAATGGCTTCTTTCGCAATGTTTCGTCCAGTTTTCAAAACTTATGGAAAGCGCTACAGACGTTTTCGCTCAAAAGAAATTCTCAAAAGACATTTTTAATTCCGAAATTTGTTATAGGTACGACTAATTAGTAATTGGACCTCTTGTCGTACAATTCAGGGAGTAATCGAGCTCGTAATTTCAAATCGGCTTCACGCTTCGCGCTCGTCCGATTTTGAAATTACTCGCGCGATTACTCCCTGAATTGTACTCCACTCGGTCCAATTACTATTTCGAATCGGACTCCACTCAGTCCTATTATACCATTACTTACAAATGTTGTACATGTAAACATTTCCCCTCCGTTTGATTTAAAGTTTACTGGCCTCACTCCCATGCTTTTCTTAAACCAGCTTAGTGCAAAAAGTGTTGTATACTTATTTGATCATTAACGATAACAAGAGATTTCTCTTTGGCTAGATTGATGTTAGGAATGGCGAATACAAATATATTTCCTATTCCTGAAACAGCGCTAAAGTAACTGTTTCTTTGCTTATTTTAGTTTTAATTTCTGGTATTGATGGTATTCAGAGTAATCGATTACGTTTCGTTAAAGAAATAGTAATACGAAACCTCGCCAGGATAAATCTAGGAATTTCTTCACACACCTTCAAATTGAATAAATCTTGTTCAAAGTATTAATTAGTTTCAAGGTATAACATGGAACCTAATTTAAAACTGTTGCACCACAAATACTAAGCAATACCACAAAGTGGGAGTTACAGGACGAAAACTGTCCAGAGTGTTTCCCTTTTTTCTGCTATAATATTCACAATTTATCTCAATTAGGAGGGTGGCTAGCTATCTAATCCACCCCCCTCCCCCCTTTAAATACGCCCCTGCTTCAGTGCAGGTGCAGAGTCCCCTTGGAAATGCCAGTCACTATAGACCTTCCTTGCTGTGCAACATGTGCGAGGCCTAGTATATGTATCGTTACTAAATGCTATTCATACTAAAGGTCGCCTCCCAAAGGACATCGGCTAACTTTTATTTAAGTTACTTATTAATTTGTTCTGGGAGGCGCGGTGGCCTCATTGTTAGTGCGCTAGCTCGTCTCCGGATCGAGCGGTCCGGGTCGAGCCCTGGCCGGGGACATTGTGTTGTGTTCTTGGGCAAGACGCTTTATTCTCACAGTGCCTCTTTCCACCCAGATATATAAATGGATACCGGCGAACTTAATGCTAGGGGTAACCCTGCGATGGACTAGCATCCCATCCAGGGGGGAGTGGAAATACTCCTAGCCGCTTCATGCTACGGAAACCGGGATAAGCTCCGGCCTGATAGGCCACTAGGCTCGTACACAGACTTTACCTACCTATCTATTAATTTATTATCCTATTTATTTTGTGCTCACGTTCCTTTTTATTTGTTTTGGTGCTTTGCAATTTAACACCCGCACTATACAGTCAAAAATCTACGCCTAAGTGGCTCTCACACAACGAGTTGGCCCCTCCCACACAATTCGTCATACTTCACCACATATCACGCCACAGCTGAAGCACCTGCGCCACCGCGAAGGTTTCTCCTTAGTGATAACACAACTATAGCTAATCGTGCCGCTGCCTTTACTGACAAACTTCACTTTAGCCTCAGGAGTTAACCCGTGTTGTTCCTTTAGGTCTGCCTTGTAGTTATCCGGTGGCTGCCATTCATCCACCCGCTTCACAACGTCTGGCGCTTGGTAGGAGATCTCTCCATAACGCATGCTCGTCTCCAACAGCACTGTGCCCGCCGGGTAATCGGTAATAGCTGGAATTAAAACAAACAAAACAATTTTGATACAGAGATCAAGCACCCATGAAAACTCTGGCCTGTGTTATCCCGCAAGACGGTTTTTAATGATTTTTGGTGTTAGCTTTTGATTTGTTATACGTGTTTATATCTCTATTTATTAAGTTAGTTTGCTTTAAATCTAGTACACATGACCTAATGTTATTAATTGTATCCTATAGATAGCTGCTCAACATCTTTAGCCGTATGGTTGTTATAAGCAGATAATACTACATTTGTAAGCTTCAAATTAATGTAATCTTCTTTATTTCCTTTTTAGTATAAATAAATGTTGTTGTTGTTGTTCTTGTCTAGGTTTGCATTACATATAAGACCCACGGGAAAATTATGAAACGATGGGTTTGTGTCACTCTCAAGAATTCATGTCACGTCATGCTATTCCTCTACTCCATTTTTTCCCTATTTTTAGCGCTCTAATTTGATTCTCAGGAAGATCAAGTAATCAAATCTGACAGTTTGCAGATAAGTTACTTTGGAAACGGTTCATGCAGGCAAAACGCTACCCCATTAACCCATTTTTGCTGTAAAAAGCAATGCCCGGCAAGCGTGGTTCACGTGAGATCATGACAACGTTGTTCTTTCGGTGACATCATTATGATTCCTGGCGTAAACGGAACTTAAAACTACCAATGTAGTGACAGCCACTCGTTAGAACTAACATTGTTTTTTGGCTTACAGAACCTCAGATATCAAGGGCTTAGTCCCTCATTCTATTTAGCTGCAATCCCTCTCCTTAACTCCTTCTTCGCAATTTAAATTGGTGTCGCTGCTACCATTTTTTCAACCCTTTTTAAATTAGAAGGGAAATCCTCTCACTTCCATAACTAGCTTCTCCCAACTGACTCCTCAGCCCTTTTGTCTGTCCAAAGAACTGCAAAGAAACCAAGCTTTTCAGTACAGTATCTAATTCTTTCCTACTTATTTCTTCCCTCATATTTCTCCCTGCAAAACATTGGTTAAAGGAAAAGAATAAATCCAACACCAACCTTGAGCATGTTTCCCTGGATTATTCGCAGATCACGATGTTGATGTTATACCATTAAGAAGGCATAAAGATAATGTCACTTCAATTTGATATATAGATCTGCCCGGGCCGGCAAAATAAAATATCTGCCCGGCTCGTGTACTGATACCTTGTCACATGTAATTCATATGCATGCAATATGCTACCATTGATTTTCTTTGTTTGTATCGACCTTCATTTTAATTACCATTCCCAGAAATATGACACAGAAGTCAAGTGGCTCTTGAAGATGAGGCAACTACTTTAGGGGACGGAGGTCCTAATCCTCAAGATCGGCCAGTCTACCACAGATTCCTCCCCTCCCTCTCCACAACCATTTTTAGCAGACTGCCTTACCAATTTGACCGTACCAATTTATACGTCCGGGTAAACAGAAGCACTATGTATGGTAAAGGGCTTGCCTATGAAGGCAACGCAAACATCGGGCTCGAACGTAGACTTCAGGCGGGGTCCGACGTACTACCATTCGGTCACTGTACTGCACCTTTCTGAATCCAGCGTTTAGTCGAGGTTATATAGAAATAATGCACTAAATCATACCAAGAAATAAATGAAAGCAAAATAAATAGATTCCTCTGCCGTTAAATTATCATTATAGGCATACCTCTTGTTGAGTACCTCCCGCTGCCGGTACATGCGGAGTGACGTCAGGTTGTTCACGTACGCGTATTGGTAAGGGCACTGGCTCTGGTTTTGGTTGATCAAATTTCTGTCCTTTCTTGCTTGGATCAAAGTAATGCAGCAGCGCTTTTTCGTGGATCTCTCGGTGTTGTTTGTTCCAAGAAAAGATGAAACTTTTTCGTCCGTCAAGGTATTCCTCATTGAACTGTGAACCCACTTTCCCTCGAGCCCAACGCGAGATCACAGTACGTTTTTCTTCGTCTTCATCTCTGTATTCATCGTCTCCACCAATCACTATTAAGACTCTGTCCCCTTTATGGATATGAAATACTGTTTCAGTAAAAGTATTTGCAATGAGAACAAGTTCCGAACCGTTTGCCTCTACTTCCGAGGAAAGTTTCGTTCATTATTTAATATCTTTAGAGCTTTATAGCTTTCCATTTATTTAATTAGAGATGCATTTTGGACTCGTTCGACGTCAGTTACCAAGGCATTAAAGATCATTTCCAGTCCGTAATGCGCAGTCTCAGCACCCTTATGTTTATAAACATTGTAAGACTCATTCGATGGAATGCGAATCGATGTTATTCGTTACGAACCACATACCTTATCTTTGAGACCTTTCAAATTCTTTTTCCAACGGCTTCATTGATTTTTACAGCTGCGAAGTTGTTTCATCAAGTGGCATGAGAAAGTCGAATTTACCTCATGTAAGTAGATGTGAAATGTTTACATTTTGTGATGTCTTACATGAAACAAAACAAAAAAACGTAAACAAATTCTCGAGAGTGCGCAGTACCGACGGGAAATCATGTTAATTAAGCGAATGATTACATGGAGATTTAATTAAGACATTAATTAAGAGGGGGATTACTTGGAGATTTTAGCCCGGTTAGTGGGAGCTGCGATTCTGAAACAAAGCCCTTACAATAAATTGGAAAATAACATAGGAGAGGGCCGGTTTCAGTCTAGGTCTCAGCTCCGGCTGATCACAGTACGTCCTTCTTCGTCTTCACCTTCGTAATGATCATCTCCACCAATCACTATTAACACTTTGTCTGCTTTATGAACATAAAATGCCGTTTAAGTAAGGGTATTTTGAAGGAGAACGAGTTAACACCGTTTCCCTCTGTTTCCGAGGGAAGTTCGTTCATTATTCCGAGAAACTAATTTTTAAAACGTTCGAGGGTAGCTCGAAAGGGGTGATTACATGGAGATTTTAGCCCGGTTTGGGGGGAGGGGGGAAGGGTGGGGGACTGCTTGCAAATTCAGTCCAGCTTCTGAAACAAAGACAGCTGCCAAGGAGAAAAGGTTTTAGCGGAATAAAGGCCATAAAATTAAGAATCTTTTCCTATGTCTAGCTAATTACAAAACTAAAATGGAATTCAACAAACAACAGTGACCTTTAATGTATACCTGCGATGATGTCTTCAATGCAGACTTAAGTTAATACGTGGTTAAGAACCTTCCGAAGTTCAAAACGTCAAACAAAGGTTTATTCTCTTCCCGCTTTCCTCTTATGCAAATTTCATCTTCATATAAGATTCAAGTCAGTACAAGTCTACCATGTGACCTCGTGCGAATATTAATTCTTTGAAAACGAAAGTGTTCTTCACTTATTTCAAAACTCGCCCCTTGCTACCTCTTCTGAAACGGATGAAACATATACACGTGTATTTCTATACATCGAATCTTTAACCACAGATGTATTGATTTATGTGTGGTCTGTTGCCTTCGTTGGTAAGATAAATCAAGTTTTTATACTTCTGGACTATAATGCTAAACTAACCTGTGACCTCCAGTAACGCTCTGTAGATCTTTGCGTAGCCAATACCGGCGTTTTCTTCGTTGATTGAGAGCCGAGATTCGTGAGCATGAACGACAAATGTGGCAATGTCCATCTGTAGCTGAGGAATGATGTTTTCACAAATCTCCGCCATGCTGTTCAGGCGAAAATTGAGCTTTTCTATCGAAATATCGAGACCATGTTTCTCGTCCACTTCGAGTAAGAACTTTTCCACGACATCCAGGTTGTAAGTCTTATCACAGTTAAAAAGGTAAACCTTCTGACTCGACCGTTCCGCCATACCATAAACTATTCTTCACTGAATTGAAAGCTTATTCCCTAATGTTATGCTTACCAGCGACGCTATTACGCTTTTACATGACATCAATTCTGGGAATGACTTTTGTTTACTTTTTCCGCGAGATAGACGGTCACGCTTGAACGGAAGGTGTGACCTTGTCACAAATTTTAATTTGTTGGGATTACAATGTGAAATATTTCATTCTGAAAACTGTTTTTCCGATTTTCAAATCCCAAAGTTAATCATACCGTACTTAGGCTTGATGAACAATTAAAATGGGTATAAAACCCGCGTGTTGTTTTTACCCGCTGACAGAAATTTGCCATTTAAAAACCCAAACATATATGAGCCTGTTAAGCCAAGCAAGAAAAAGCAATATCAAGCAGCTTCATATATGTGGGTTACAGTTATATTATGAACTCCTGTCTGTAGAGGCAAACACTACAACCAAGTTGTTCGGGACCACGATAATAATAATAATAATAATAATAATAATACATAATACATAATATTTTAAGAGGAAGCCTCCAATCACCATAAGGTGGTTTTCAGGAAGGTCCTCTGAGAAAGTAAATGTTAAACCTTTAAAAATACAATAAAAAGGAGAAGAACCTATGCGGTAAGCTAACTAAGATTAAAAACTAAAACAAGAATTAAAATACTAATAACTAAGGTAAAATGGTTCAATAAAAACTGTTTCAGTTTGTATTTAAAAATAGTCTTCGGCATCAGTTTCCTTAAAGCACTTGGTAGTGTGGCCTAGTCGTTAATGGCTTTATAACATGTTTTGCTTTTTTCCGAGTCCGTTCTTGGCCTACTGACTTTGGGCATGTAGCCATTTCGGGTATTATAACCGTGTTGTTGGTTCATGGTGGATCTGAATACACCGAAATGTTCGGGGATGCCACCTTTCATTGCATCTTGCACAACACAACACCGATGACCGAACCGCCTCGCATGTAAAGATACCCACCGCAACGACGTCAGAGCCTCTGCTGATGACATTTTCGACTTAACGATCTTCTTCGCAAAGCGATCTTGAAAAGATTGTAATTGTTTCATCTGTGTTGTTAGACCAGGCTGGTCACCCCAGATGTGTTAGGCTTATCATAATACAGTTGTGAATAAATACTGTATGGACCAAGCCCAGGTTTATGTCCTTCACAGAACTAAATCTCCAATAGCTACCTCCAAAAACAAGAACCTATTTTTCTAGACTTCACAAAATGTAGGTTCTTACACGCGGGTTTTAAAAACCGAACTAACGATTAGCGCTGCTTGCTATCATATATAATTGCAACGACGATGAACGAACTTTGGAAAAAGTGAAGGTCTGTTTTCCGAGTTTTCTGGTGTATCCGCTGAGATTGAACGGCGGAAAAACACAAGTGCACAACCGTATTCGTAATTGAAGACACGTTGGCGTGATTATCGAAAGACGCAGCATAATAATGAATTTCAAATACTAATAGGTGATTTGGGTGATGGCGCCATTAGACTACAACTACCAGAATCCTTCACTTTTTCTGTTTCTTATGCTAATTAAGGCAATTGTTGGTTAAACCCCACTGGGAATTCAAAATTTAAATAATAAAGAGAAAACGAAAGGAATTCTGGTAGTTGTAGTCAAATGACGACAACGTGCAAATCTGCTGTAAAGAAATCACTTTATTTAAGTCATGGTATTAAGCACTGCTGTGCTAATAAGGAACACATTAAATCGAGAAACAGGCACTGTAAATAGAAATGAAAACTTGTTAAAATCACAACTGGTTGGAGGCCGACCAGTTGGCTATTTACAAGACGTGGACGAGTTGAATTTGGGACTACCAAACACAAATCCATCTAGTGGCAGGGAGGAGGATTTGAAACCCGGACCTTCGTACTACAAATCCAGCGTCTTAACTAATAATAAGCCCCCCCCCCCCGCCCCCCTACTCCCCCTTATGTTAAAATCTCCTCCTGTATACTTTTCAATAATTTTGTCGGCAAACGAGAGCACGAGGCTTCATTTAGTTGTTGGTCCAATAGCTGGAGTTAACTACTGCTCTCTGAGTTTATTCTGTTCAGGAGTTTGTCGACAGTCGAGTTCATTTACTTTCGAAACTGATTTCTTTTTCAGTATTAAGCATGCAGTCTATACAGCTTGACCGGTTCTCTGTTTTAGTTTTTACCTGTGATTTTACACGTGTCTACTTAACTTAAAGGTGATTATAAGCTATATACTGCGACAGCAATATAATTGTATATATATGTTCACTTTAAAACGTCAAACTTCAGTACTTCTTCAACTTGCGAACTTCTGTGCGCCTGTCCAAGCAAGGTAGTTAACGGTACGTTATTTCACCGCCTTTATCACAAGAAGGCTTTCATGCGCTGAACGATTTCACGTAACCCATCAACCCGGAGGCTAAGGAATCTCTGACGACCACGTGCAAATGGCCAGGGTCTTTCTCAGAATGGATCTCCAATTTAGCTCTGGGCACATCCTTCCATTTCTGAAGCAAATCTGACGCTAATTGAGATGGTGGTTCCCAGCCCTCTTTCCTCTCCACCACATCACTTTCTTTATATGAGATGGCGCCATAACGGATGACTGTCTTCAGCATCAGTGCCTTCTTGGGGGTGTCGCTTTGTTGATCTCCGTTCGGATCCATTGCTGGAAATGAAACGTACTGCCATTCAGGCGTAGCAGCATCACTGGCACTGGATTCATTCTCCCGAATTTTTCCTCTCCACCAAAGAATGACGCCTTTTTGCTTAAGAATCAACTCTACTTTGTTGGTGATATCGATTTCTTCACTCTGTGATAATGCCAATTCTTTCAAATTTCTGTCTGAGCAAATAATGACGATAACTCTTTTTTCTAGACGCAAAAAAGCATGAAAAAAAATCAATTTAAATAAAAGTTGTATTAGATTCAAGTCTAGTTTTAGACATAAACATTGGTTACGAGAAATTAGGGTTAATGTGGTACACGCCTTTCATTTCACCCCCTAATTTAGGTGCAAAATGCAAATATTAAACACCGGATGTGTGGGGTGGGGGATGGACTGAGGGTGGGGGAACCACTCAGGGAGCTAGCACTTGATACCACCACTTTTGGCCTGGATCCTGAAGAATGACACACGAACATGCAGGGAATTAATTATTTGACATTTGAAATTGGCACCTGAAATGAATTTCACCTTTAAATGTCCTCGTTTCCAAAACTCTGATAACGAGAAACCTGTTCCAGGCTTTCGGTCCGTGAGGACAATCGTATAAGCCCGCGGGCGATTAGCGGGGTCTGGTAGAGAAAAGGAAAGGGAGACCCCTCCTTTTCCCTACAAGATCCCGCTCGTCGCCCGCCCGCTTTTCCGATCGTTCTTACCGACCGAGAGCCTGGACCAGGCTAGAAAACGAGGAGACCACTAATGGCAACTTGATTTAACACCTTAACGTGTTAAAGGACAAACATGCCTTTCTCTCGAACCTATTTTCTAGCCCCCTTAGCATTCTTTCCAGAATCTTCGAGAACGTAGTTTTTATTATTTGTATTTTTGTATTTTTTTAGAGGGCCACACTGAGTTCATCAGTAATGTTAGTTACTTTTACGTGTCACCCTCATAAAATAAGGTCTCTTACTTAATTAATTACTTACTTATATCCTGAAAGAGCCATCCATGTTTTGGTAGCCTTAGTTAACGCCCTTAGTGCGCTTCTTACCTGCTACTTTTTGAGCCTCCATCAACAGATCTGCGATAGCTGACCTCTCCCAGTTGTTTCTCAGGGTAGCCTCTTTCAGATCACTCGCCAACAGTCCAAGAGCACACATTGTTACCGATTGTACTTGCAGATGCAGCTTCAGCTCTGTTGGGCTTCCAATACACACATCCGGAGGGGGACGCATGCTCGGTAGAGAGTACATGTGGCTGACAACTGTGGCGGTAGCCTCGTCACTACAGAGGATCATTAAATCTGCAGTTCCTGAGAAGCAAGGAAACAAATGCAAGCTGAAACGGTGATCATGTTAGCCTGTGGTGTAAGTAAACCTATCCTGTCTGCTGGTGTGCCGACTCTTCTCCCTGGTTAAGACAGGTTTTTTTTTAAAGTTTTAAAACAGTTGCCGTTCAAGTAGTTCTTGATTTGACAATGGATTCCATACTCTCACGTCGGATTATATAGTATGTAGTGTTTACGCCTAATGATTGACTGTTTTTCGAGCACGAGTAAGGTCCAATCCAAGACACTACTCATTTATCTGAATAGTTTCGCCATAAGTGTCACTTAAAACCCAGAGAGAGAGAGAGATGGTAACTCAGGTTGCTTTCAAGCATACACTGAGCAGAAATACAAGTAGCTAAAAACAGCCATAAAATGACTTTTCTCTGGGAAGAAATTAATTGTTCACTGATAAATATGATATGCTGTTTTAAATCCATATTTTTAGTTTTGTAGCATATTTATCTTTCACATTTAAGCAATACAGGATTTTTCTGCGTTTACACAGCCTCATGAAAAACATGAGGGGGACTGGGAGAATTCGAGAGAGTTATGCAAACCTGAGTGTTTAGACTATTAACTATGGTTTAGATGATGCTTTCATAAAAAATTTCTTGTCACAACAGTTTTTGCATGCTCTCATCCAAACACACCAATCAACTAATGAGAGCGCGCGTACTATCTTAAATATTTTATAAAAGAAACTGCTTTACCGCGTGGTTTTGCAGCCGTTGTGCTCGCGATTTCTTCTTGTCTCCGACGTCCATCGATTTCTAGTTCGGCAAACGACTGCAAAGAAAGAACGATGACAACCTGTGTTAACAAAGAATCGACCGGCTCAGGTTAAGAAGTGCTCCTACAATATTTGTATTCCTTATTCGACTATGACGCCGTTAGACTATATGAGAACAAGTCAAGAAACACACAAAACACACGAAATCGTGGTTTCGCCAATTGAGGACAGAGCCCACCAAAAGACGCGGAGAGACCCACTGAACAAGCAGCCTGACACATGCATGGTTAAATATAGCGATGAATAAGCACAAGTCGTGTAAGGAAACCTGACCTATAAACCTAGAATCAGGAAAAAAAAAATGTCTCGAACAAAAAACTGGATACAACTATTAAATGTTAGGCATCTTTTGTCTCTACTCATAACATCAAATTAGCAATCATACAATCATCCAATGGTACTCGTCAGGACTGGAATGGCTTTCCCCTCTTTTCTCAATAATAGTGAATTATTCATTAAATTATCTTCATCAATGGATCCGAGCGATTTGGCAATAAACATACCTGCACTGAGGAAATTCATGTTGTTTCAGTTTCGTCAGAAATTCTCGGTTCAGGTCTCTCAACATTATTCCAGACACAACAACAAATACAGTAACACGGTGCTTCGGTCGACAAATTGCAGCTCCAATTTTTGTCTCCTAAATACTGAATATATTCGACACGTTACCCGGCTAGTAATTTAATTCTTACAATAGAAACATACTTCTTCAACAGACGCCGAAGCTGTATCTGATTTTGGTCTCGCTGCCATCCCCAACTGAGGAACAAATTTGGATCCTGCTTTGCTCGGATCAAAGAAATGCAGCAGTGCTTCCTCGTGGATTGATCTGTGCTTTTGGTTCCAAGAAAACACAAGGCTTTTTCTTCCGTCACGAAACTCCTCTTTGAGCTGTGGACTTACTACCCTCAGTGCCCAGCGTGACAAGACATTTTGCCTTTCCTCGGCTTCGTCCTTGTAGTTGCTATCTCCACCAATAACCACGACAACTTTGCCACCTTAAATAACATCAACAATGGAAACTGTACATGTCACGAATGGTTTTCTCGTCGTTTTACCAAGCTTAATAATATAATAACTATATACATTTACTATCGCTTAATTTGTATTTCCAAAAAAGAGAGTGCGAGCTCATAAAACGTCCAAGGCAATAGTGCACTCAGTGATTGAGTGATTCTACTGAGCAGCGTCTCCAACCTCTTCAGAAAAAAATGGCCAAATGGTTTTCTAGGAAGTTGACAATAAGGCCGTTGAAAAAGATGCGAACTTTTCTCCCCTGGGCTAAGTAAAACTGTACACGTTTTATGACAAATCAAAGGCACAAAACCATTCTAATTGATGAAAGTTACATGGCTTTGCTAGTGCTGATGAATCACCGGAAACGAAGCCAGCCCGGGGAAAAGGGGGGTGGTGGAGTAACTGATTCATAATGCTTGAAAAAAAAAAAAGCCTCAACGTGTTAAATTATTTTGCTCGTAATGTTGCTTCTTTAACTGGTTGATTGACTCGAACATTTGCACAACGAAACCACGAGTGAATGCTTTCAGTTTCCGTCATTTTTTATCAGCTTTTTGACACTCCCGTTGTTTCAGTAACATCCAGGTTCGGCGTTCCATTTCGTGTTTCATTTTTTCCTCTTCTCATAATATACATATAGTGCCCCACCTCTGGTTTTTCGATTTCGTTTGGAAACGACACATGGGGCAATAACTAATATAATCGACGAAATGGCTGGTCTGGCTCCTAAGTCTATACAGACGAATACACTCTCGTATACGTTCGAAGGTGAACGAATACTTAATATTTTGATGCGTTTTGGCCTCTTGTTCACCTGACGTAAACAATATTTACGATCATTGTAGACCTTCGTGTACTTTCTCCAGAGCTGAGTGGATAACCTCGTGAACATTTCAAACAGTGATTTTCCCCTAAACCATGCATGGAAGCGAATTTCTGAGAAACTTATTTAATTCGTCACGTAGAGTTTACTAGAAAGCGAAACTGATCGGAAGAATCTCTGTACGATATCTTATACTCTACTGCTACATAATTTCGCTAGACTTACTCCATTTTTCAAGATTTGGTGATGGAAATACATCGTTTCATCCCTACATTAAAGCTTGCAACCCGAAAATCTTTGATACGGATTCCAGAGTGTACTTTTCCACTTCCACTCTGAGAAGGCGCAAGGTTTAAACAAGTAAACATTTAACTTACCAGTGGCCTCTAGTAACGCTCTGTAAACCTTGGTATATCCTATGTTCACGTCGCTTTCGTTGATTGACAGCCGAGATTCGTTTGCATGGACGACAAAAAATGCGAAATCTATTGTAAGTCTAGAGATGGTGTTCTCGCATATTTCAGACATGTTTTTGAGACTGAAATAATGTTTTGATATCGTAATGGTGAAGGGAAGCTTTTCTCCGACAGAACGAAGCAGAGCTTCTACCACGCGTAGATCGTAAGTTTTGTCACAGTTGAAGAGATGCACCCGTTTCTTTTTATCCATTACTGCTGTGAAGAAGTAAAAGCGACAGTCTTGAACAGGGTTGATCTCCGATATCGCTTCCTCTGTGAGTCACCGAAAATACAATTTCTCAGAAATTGCGTTACACAGCCTTCCGAGTTTTCACGGAATGCTAAGCAGCATTATTGTCACGCAATTAACATGATCACAGATTATAAATAAATTCTATCAGACACCATTTAAAAATATGAAGCGTTTTCTATTTATACTTTCTTTCTTTTTTTTTTTTTTCTTTCAACACAGATTTCCTTAACAGTCTCGAGTTATTATAGAGACAAATGATTTTTACATCATTTTGGTCACTTACATCGTGGCTGACTCGCGGTCACTCGCGGCTGAAGTCTCGTAAAGCATCAAGACAACAGATGAGACATTTCCTGTGTCTTAAGCGCGCACCCCACCATTTACTCGCAGAATCTTACGCTTTGCATATCTCTCATTAAGTACGATTACAATTCCATGCAAAAACACCCAACGAATTCCCATAAAGAAAAGTAAACTAGCTCGTCCAGGGAAGCTAACCCAACGCTCCCCNCCCCCCTCTCCACACACTGCACACACACACACCCTCCCCCCACTTCCGAGACAGTTTTTCAAATTGAATTCAGCTTTGCAAGCAGGAAGCAAAGCATACTTTGGAGACTTAACTTGGGGAGTTTCAGCAGATTCAATGGGGTTTGACTGTGCAGAATTCGACGTTATTTATTTGGTGATTAATTGATCTTTTTTGCTGTCATTTTATAGCGTACATGTAGAATTATGAGGGAAATTTCTGGCTTTAGAAAAGCTGACCAGTGGGCCGGTCATACCATAAGTAAACGTCGTTGGTGTAGATTACTTTCAGTTTTCACGGGGTAGGCCATATCCGAACTTTGTAAATTTTACCAAAGCTTCCTTAGGGAGAAAAGTTTACACCGAAAACAGTCCTTATTGAGGACAAGGCCAAAATAAATCGACAGATAAATTGAAAAAGCAATGAGCGGTACGAAATGAACACGAAATGTACGTCCAAAAGGGAGGGAGTGGGATTCGGTTGTGGCTGTGGGTCACTCGTTGAGCAGTCCCCCATCCACGCCCCACCCTGTAGTTTGCGTTTTCTTATAGGCTTAAACAATGAATTGATCGTTTATCTTTTTCCTACATATAAGAGTGTATATTTCAGTTCGTTTAGTGTGAGTTTAGTGAAGGTAGTTTTGAAAAGAACTGTTGTAGGTGACTGACGTTTCGACCACCTGAGCAGAAGGCATCTTTGAAGTCTTGTTTCTTGGCCACTAAATAGAGGTAACCACTGCAGGCATTCCACAATGGATAAATTTCGCAATAAACTAGCAATTCTAAAAAAGTTTCAGTCATCCGTCTACGTTTACGCTTATATTTACAGAGCAACAACGTTTACATAATAATATTGTATTTAATGAGTAAACAAATTAATGAATCGAAATATAATTATCTCAAATATGTTTTACTTAATCGTAACCGTGTTCAAGAACTTAACCGCCTAAGTAATCTGTCTGACAGACCTAGTTTATGTCGAATATCGATTTTTATCTTTTTATCCTCTTGACGACATGAATAGATATTGTTAACAAATAAGTGCAGAGAAAAAAAAGTGGAAAGGGCAAAACAACGTAAACTAATTAATATATGCCCTTTAATTAAATACATTTCTTTTAAGATAAAACTAGTAGAGCTAGTATGAGAGGATAGAGTAAACACACAGTAAATTAATATACAATGTTAGAATTATTAATACCGCCGAGCAAGATAAAACTGGTATAGATAAAGTAATGTCATTTACAGTCATCAGTAGTTGGGCAAAATTATCTTTTATTTATTCCAAAGCATTTTGGATTCAGGAGTTGTAAGAACACACTTTGAATTGTGTAATTATGGTGTTCCTATACTAGAGACAGGATGAGGTTCGAAGACTTTTATGAAATTAGGTGATACATGAAATATTTGGCAGGTAGATAATTTAACAATGTCAGGAAACTTAATGAGGCCAAGTTAATTTGATCTTCATGACTTACCTAAGCTAGATTGGGCAGACATTCACGAGTTCCAGGAACATTGCTTAGCTGAAGTATATTTGCTTTATACAAATAGTTAAAATCATGATTTACACAGTAGAAACCCGATTTCTAAAATTATTACAAAATGAAGGTGAAAGGAAGAATAGCTCGAAAGATAGTTCGAGATATAGGGGGTGAAATTATGCAGTGAAATAGATTTCAGGGAAATGACACTATACGGCTTGGTTCGAGCCGTGGAGTAGTTCGGGAAATCGAAGAGTCAAGAAATCGGGATTGAGCTATTACTCTATTTTCGAATTTAAACACAGCTGATTTAACCTTTCTCAGTTTTAAATACTAACTCAGACGCACGAAAATGCTTTTTTTTAGTGGGCCCAATGAATGGTTTGTCACGTCTTTGTTTGTTTGTTTGTTTGTTTGTTTGTTCGTTTGTTTGTTTGTTTGTTCGTTTGTTTGTTTTCAAAAGACGGTCATTAATCCAGTTTCTATCCTTTTCTACTACATTATTTTAATGACATAGTTGTGTGTTTGAGTCCAATCCGTCACATTCAGTAAAATATATCGTTAACATGGAGCTACACACTGTACACATAAAAGTTTCAATCAGGTTCCATGTGATCGGCTGTATCCTTTGGAAGATGTCTTTCCCTCTTTCCTAATGTGGAGAGGCAACCTGTACCGGAATTACCAAAGAACGTTTCCTTCAGGCTGTCGCCCACCTGAGATATGAAGGACTCTTTATTCACGACAACCCGGTAACGTCCAACTGTGTTTTCTTGATAAATCAACAATTCTGCGTCGGCGGTTGATCTCCATTTCCTCATCAAGTCATCTTCTATCTCTTTAGGAGGCTTCCACCCTTCTTCATCTTGGTATGAAATTATACCGTCGCGCAGGCGAGCCTTTAAAAGTAATGTGGACTCACTGGGATTCATCGGCCGTTTGGCAATTCTCGTCTGAGACCTCTCTGCCATGCCATCACGTTCTGGAAGAGATTGTGATCGACGATACTGAAGAGGACGTTTGGGTTTTTGAGTTTGATGGAGAGGATTTTTGTTTCCCTTCCGCCACAGAATTTCGCCCTTTTCACCGAGATGTAGCCTGACTTCGCGTGTTAAGGCATCTTCCTCATCCTGTGACATCTCGCTGTCGTCACTGCAGACGATAATGACCACTTTTCTCACTGAAAGCAAAGAAGAGTCAAGGTGAAGTTTCCGTTGCAACAATGTACCACATGGAAAAAGCATAAATTATTTTTAATGAAATGGTCATGATTGATGATCGATGAGATCAAGAAAATTATTATAGTTTAAAGGTGTCTAGTAATGTCCCTGTTGGTAGCAAGGGTATTTTCCTCATTTGTAGACTGAACAACAGGCCTAGGTCTTCCCAGTTTCCTCCCCTCCTACCTTCCGTTCGAAAAGCCTGATACTCAGGAAAATGCAGCTATGCAAGAATTTCACTATTTTGTAAACTGTAATTGTACGCCTTTTCTGGCAGCATCTAAGGTCGCGAGTCAATAAATACAAATACCAGGACTAACTCTCAGAAACGCGGTCAACAGGGTAAAAGGTTTTACTCCCAGCTAAGACGAAGCTCCACAGAGATGATGGTTTTGATTTTAGTACCAAACAGAGGTCCACAATGCTAAACTTATTAGATGTTCTCACAGTAAATAAGGTTTATAGACTCCAAGCTCTGAAATTCACGCATCTTTGGCACAAAGGCCTCATACCAAGCTTTTTTCAAGATTTCTTTCAATACGCCAGTGAAGTACACGGATACGATACCGGATATGTATCTAGGGAAAATCTATACATATCAAAAGTGCGCACCAATTCTGGAAAACAAACAAAAGCTTACACAGCCACTATTCTCTGGAACAATATTCCCACTCACCTTAAAGATATCAATGTCTTCAACTTCTAACAGAGCATACATGTTTATTCAAATTCATGTCTAAACAAGTGAAATTTTNTATATATATATATTTAAAAAACTGTAATTGTTCGAGTGAATAAGTTGAGTTGTTGTTGCTGTCACAACGCAAAGCTGATAAGTTTGAAGCTGGTTAGCGACTTATGCCCCATGACTCAAGCCTTCGTGAAAGAGATTTAAAACAGATATCTTACCTACTGTTTCTCTGATTGTGTTCAGTAGGTCTGTATAGGGGGTTTCAGCTGATCTGCGACACAACTCGTCTTTCATGGCTCCAGCGTCGACAACAATAATACAGGACCTCATTGAAATGATAGAGAGTAAATAGCTGAGCCCCGCATATGGGGAACCACTGTATATGTTGAATATGTCAAGCAGCTCATCACCAAACCAGTCCGTGATAATGGCAACATCAGACTGGTCCCGACAAACGACCGCTACTTTCCCCTGCGATGGTGTATCCTCGGCCATTGCTTTTAAACGTTTGCTAAAAGTACCTTCCGTTGTAGGTTCGGCGTATTGTCCTATAATAATGAGAATGAGAGTGACGAATCGAATTGCAGTTGGGCCACTAGCTGTTACATTTTCTTTTAAATAAACTTCCCGAAAACGCATGGAGACTTGCTAATACGGACACATTCCTCAGCCCTTTTAACAGTGCCTGTATTAAAGGGTACGACTATGTCAAAATGTTAGTAGCAGTAGTAAAAAAAATCACACTCTTTCCCCACTTTTTATTTTTATTTTATTCACTCAGTTTTCTGACTTTCTATTTTTCTATAATAGTAATAAAAGTAATAATAATAANGAGAGTGACGAATCGAATTGCAGTTGGGCCACTAGCTGTTACATTTTCTTTTAAATAAACTTCCCGAAAACGCATGGAGACTTGCTAATACGGACACATTCCTCAGCCCTTTTAACAGTGTCTGTGTTAAAGGGTACGACTCTGTCAAAATGTTAGTAGCAGTAGTAGAAAAAAAAGAAAACAACAACAACAATCAAACAAACAAACCAAAAATATGTTATCTATTAAATCACATTCTTTGCCCACTTTTTCTTTTTATTTTATTCACTCAGTTTTCTGACTTTCTATTTTTCTATAATAGTAATAAAAGTAATAATAATAATAATAATAATAATAATAATAATAATAATAAATCATTTGTAACTATTGATAGACTGACCCCTCTAGACTAGCATAGCTATTCGCGGGCCAGTCCAACTGCACAATGTAGATTTTATTAAGAAATAAAATGATGAAGAAATGAAAATCTCGACTGATCGATTGGATTGAAATATCACCTTTCGTGTCACGGCTTTCCCATCATGACGAATTTTCCTCCTCGTACCCGACAGCAGGTTCGGAAGGACGTGATGGATGTAAGCGGAGCGGCCCCCACATGTTTATTCTTGAGTACCCGTCGGTGGACAGTCCAGATTGAAATATATTGGTTAAATATTGGTTATGAGTTGAAATTAGATTAATTGATCGATCGATCGATCGATGAATTGATCGATTGAATTGTTCATTGAAAGATCGATCGATCAATTAAGATTGCTTGATTAATTGATTGATTGATTGATTGATTGACTGACTGACTGACTGACTGACTGACTGACTGACTGACTCATTGACTGACAGACGGACGGACGGACTGACTGACTTACCTCTCCTAATCTCGGGGGTGACTTGCACAGTTTCAACAAGGTTGGATTTCTCGCTGTTAAGTGACTGATAAACAGGAATATTTTCCTGCCTACCATTGGTTTCAGCTCTCTGCATTTCGATGCTATCGTCCTTCACTGGCTCTAGATCTAAATTGGAGTAGTTTATTGGTGTCGTTGCTTTTACATCGTTGGAAGTAACTTCCTGTGACACAAAAATGAAGTTAATGCTTTTATGTGTTATTTTTGTTGTTGTTTTTTTGTATTTATTGTTGTCTGTTCCTATTTTTGCAACTTTGAAGCTTGGCTGGTCTGTTAGCAGAAAAATAGTGATGTATTTTGGTTGTTCCGCGCTAAGGCAAATTAAACTGTGTCACTCAAGGAGTAAAAGAATCAGTTTTACTCTTTACGAATACCCTGGCTCCTGTTGTACCACTTTACCTGAATCGTGTCAACCGCAGGTTTGGAAGGCTGAAGTTTTGGTTCAAATTTTTCCCCCTTCTTTCCAGGATCAAGGAAATGCAACATTGCCTCCTCATGAATCAGTCTGTGTTCTTTGTCCCAGGAAAAGATAAAGCTTATGCGTCCATCCACGAATTCTTCTTTGAACTGAGAGGAAATCTGTCTCTTAGTCCACCGTGACAAGACAGCTTTTTCTTCCTCAGCAGCATTTTTGTAATTGTCATCTCCACCAATAACAACAATTACTTTGTTGCCTGTCAGTTTAAAAACACAAATCAAGTCGAATCCAAGAACAGTTGTAGAGAGCAAATATTACTGCTACTGCTACTGCTACTGCTACAGCTACAGCTACTGTTGCTACTACTGCCACTTCTACTTCTACCGCTGCTGCTGCTGCTACTGCTACTGCGCGCTACAGATTTTGCAGCTTACGTTTCTTTAAACCGAAGCTTTGTGTTTCTTCGGAAGAGCGGGACTGTGCGACACAAAATGAACGTAAATCGTCTGCGTGTAATGTTCCGTCTAAAATCGATACCTCCCTCCTGTGGAATGTCCTTAGTGAAAGAATGGGATTAGCTTCTTCTCTGAACTTGAAGTTGGAGTACCCCATTTTTAAGCTAGCTACGTCTACTGCACTACCACCTAATAATAATCCAGGAAATGCGGTAATAATCCAACGCATGTTCATAGCGCCATAAATGTTTGCCAGCATAGTGAATAGGAAAAGGAAAACTGAGCGTTTCTCGTTCGTTTGATAAAACTTAAGCCGAAGGCCGTAAATTGATCATAACAAGACCTGGGATTAAGTTTTTGACAGTGGTCTTATTTTTGGATTGCATGTTTAAATGGATGCTTATCCCCAGAAGAGGCAGTTTTTAGATATACAAGATTTTATGTTTGAAAAATACGGACGTCGATTATTTAATTTTTTTTTTTTTTAGCTGCTTTTGTGCTTATTCTCGGAAAAAACAAAAAAATATTTAAATTTGTCTATAGAGCGTTTTCACTGTCACCCAATATATAAAAAATAAAATCAAAAACCATTCAGTGGATAAAGTCAAGAAATTGTGATATCATAGAAGATAGATAAAGAAGACAGTTCTCCAAGTTTAAGGTGTGTGCGTTGTCCCAAAGTTTAGATATTCGTCGAAATGTTCCGCGCAAATTTACAGAGCTAGTATGGAGCCGCCATGTTGGTGTTCCTCTGTGATACACCAATATGGCAGACGGAAAATAGTGTTAACATCTGAAACTTTCTTTGGCTATCTAGGCGACTGATTAACTGCACTGAACAAACAAACATTTAAATAAGTACTTAAATGGCTAAAAATCACTAGATAAATACATATTTTTCGACAAACGTAGTTGTAGCTTTATGTCACGCACCGCCATAACTCTGAAATTCAAAATGCGCTGGTTTCCAAACGAAGTACGCTATTGAGCTGGAAAGTTGTAAGCCGTGACTGATATAAATTTAGTACCTCTTATGCCTGATGAGGATTAAAACTTTGGTGGCTCTTTAGTTTTGGATTTAAGGATTTGAGGACGTCACGTAAAAATAACGCTCTATTCTGCATGGTGAAACTTTGTTTGAAAATTTCAGTTTAATAATTCTAAATTCTGAAAATGACGCTTTGAAAGGTGAAAATAAAGATAAAAATTGATTTTCTTGGCTTTAAAATTAGAATGTAAAGCCTTTCAGTTTGCTTTCAAATTTCAGTTTCAAATGAGTGTAGTGTTACTGTCATGCAACCACTGCGACAAACCCGAAACACTCGATTCGTTCAGCACTGTACAATTTTTCTGAGTAAACAACAGAAACAAGAATTTCATTGCTGGTCTTTGTCGCGAGGACTCCATAAAAAGTTCTGATATGATGTTTTCCGGATCAATGTTTTCCTTTTGGCCTTTGTGTAACATAAAATATGAAGGTTACGATGTTGTCATCAACGAATTTGTAAGTAAAACAGTTCCCCTTTAAATCACTCACCCGTTTTCTCCAGTAATGCTCTGTAGAATCTCGCGTAACCAATGCCAGCGTTGTCTTCGTTGATTGACAGCCGAGATTCGTGAGCATGGACGACGAACACGGCGAAATCCATCGGTGGTTCAGATTGGATGGTCTTGCACAATTCCGTCATTTCTGAGAGAGCAAAGTACTTCTTTGTGAGGATCGAAATTTCGAAGCTTAGTTTGTCTTTGATGGCGTTTAACAACTTCTCCACTACATCTAGCTTGTAGGTTTTATCGCAGTTAAAAAGATGGAAACATTTCTTGTTCCCTTCCTTTCTTTCTGGCAGCGGCTGTTCCTCCTCCATATTCGAGTCAGTGTTTTCTTCCATCTTGATATTGACACTGTTTTGGTTTCAAACCGATTCCACGAATTCAGCGGTTTTCAAGTCAAATTTGCATATATCGACTCCTAATTCAGCGTCACGCAAACCACTAACTTCTTTAGCACCTTTTTGTGAATATAAAAGCCACTACTACCATGAATTATAACTTAAATTTAAAAAAAAAGATTCATAAATGTTTTTTGAAATATTTAGTCAGTGTATTTTAAAAAACAGCTGCCCGAAAATTGGAGTTATAAAAGTGGGTTTTCTCGGAAAACTTTTAGTGACGTCACAATGCTCTGTTTAGCCCAAAGGTGGGCTAAACCGAAAGCAGATAGCAGAACGCGTTCGATTTTTTTGTCGTAGAACACAGCAAAACAGTAGTTTAGACCGCTATTATGTGATAACCTCTTACAAACCAAACATGGCTTGCAGTAAGGAACAAAGAGAAGATGAAATCTCCCAGCTGTGTGGTCGATTACTTGAATACACGGTCGGGACTNATCATCATCATCATCATCATTAGTGCTGGCTCTCCTCTGGGAGAATAGGGCCATAGTACACCACACTACTCACACCAAAACACATACACTACACACCTACATGTAACTGACAGCTTCAGAGTTGTTATTCAGTTGTAAGTTTCATAGTATGAATTTGCCTTTGCTTGATATTAACGCTTCTTTAACTTGGGGACTACTTTAAAGTTGTGGAAATTAGCGTTAAGCGGGGGACGTGGATCTGAGGAAGCCATTTTGAATTCTCTTTTTTTACTATATATAAGTTAAGGAGATGGCACACGGGCACGTGACACGTTGCGTTACACGTGATGGACTGACCTTTGTATCGTTTTTGAGCGGTTGTGTCGCATTACGTTGTTGTCGTTTGTTGAGAATAAATCGTCTCAAAAGGTTTACCGTTTTGTCGTCTTGAAACTACTTGAAATCGTCCTGAACAGATAACATGAAACGAAAATGAGATAAAAAAAAAACCAACGACCGTTAGCTCTATTTGTCGAAACTTTATTGGGGGATAAAAAAATTTCCTGATCTCCTTCTCAGCCGTTATTGGGTCCATCGTCACGCAACGTTCTTCTCCGTTAATGGGGACGGAACGTTGCGTGACATCCTAAATTGCGACTGCCAAGGAGACTACATCATGACTCCTTTAAACCAACACTCGTTAATAAACTGTTTGTTTGTTTTTTGTTTGTTTACTGTTTATGACAGCAATCACGATCATCACTGTCATCACGTTTGATGACGAAATCGAGAAAAAACCGAATGCCGATGAAGAAAGAGAGAGGCTGAAGGAAGCCGCTATTGAAGTCACTGGAAGCGACAAGAAAAACGTGTTCATGATTGCCAACTCAGTGTGCGAACAAGAATATGATCCAGTTTACAAGAAACGCGTGCTGAAGATGCTGGAACTAGCAGCTAAGTGCGGCGAGCGATCCATACGGATGCGACAAACTCTCAGAGAAAGCCCCAAGAAGCAGACACGGCATTCCGATTCTGATGCTGGTGTCAAGCGCCCTGTAGAAAACACCGAGGAACCAGACTATCCTGGTAAAAAATGGTGGTCACTGCCACCAGACTTCCCTCACTGAATGAAGTCTTGAAAACTAGCCTGTGTTACAGACGGAAATTTAATTCTAATGAATAAACACGAAAGGTACATTTCCTTCGTAACGCTAATGCAGGCTAGCGAGAATTGGGAAACGCGAGAGAGAAGATGTTTCTATTGATAAACTGAACAATGAGGAGACTAGAGCCTCTAGTCTTCTTGCGAAACATTTTGTTTCTCACCCGAGTTTTCCCTTAGCGTTTGACAATCCTTGTTGACAAGTTTTCATTTTAATTTCAAGAGAAAGGAGCAGATGTTACATATTATCTTTACGACAAGAGTTTAGCTGAGGCGGTCATAACTTTGCTGCAATCCTTATCGGTCTTTAGCTGACTTACATCTTTGCTCTTTGTCTACGAGTATAGCTTTGCACTCACGATTGTTTTTTAATCCATGTAGGAATGCTCAATCTAGGCCCTTGTAATTGATAAATATTTACACATTGTAACATGGAACTATGCCTGCTGATGTTTTTTT